CGAAGGCCACCAATGGGTCTCCAATGCAGCGAGAAACTCCCGCACCCAGAGGCATCCTTCAGCTGGCCCCTAAACAACCTAGATGCATTTTGTATCTATACATAGGCGGATGCAGGGGGGCCTGGTTTGTGGGAAAAATTTGGTTGATTATATAGGGAATCACTGAAGCATGACTGGAGCGGGCCCCCCTTAGGTCAGCCAGCGCCCCCTCCCCCTCTTATGAAAAGTTCTGGATCCGCCACTGCTATATTTGTATTATTTTAATATTGTCCAATGTTTTTTGGTCTTAATTTGGTAAGGGCTTTAAATAAACTACAATCAATCAATCAATCATGTTTTTTTACTTTATGCAATGGAAAATTTGATACTCATTCATATAACTTTCAAATACCTTTTCATATATGAAAATTTGTTAACAGATATGAGGGTCTGGATTGGGGGTCCCTAATTTCTTCAATCTTTAATTTTTAGCCAATTTTTCTCTATTCTTTATATTTTTGGCATATCATTCTTTATTCTTTACATTTTAGCACAGCATCCCATTATTCTCTATTCTTTATTTTTTTAGTCCATTTATCTCTATTCTATACTTTTTAGGCCCTTAATTCTCTACTACGTAAACCCTCTCCAAGACCCTCAGATACGGACACACTGGTTACTTTCATTTAAATGTGGAGTCCTAGATGACGAATTTCATTTCTTTTTGTATTGTGACATTAACATATCATTGCGTTCTAATTTTGTTGCTTATCTATCAGACTATGTACCATTATTTCAACATCTTGATGCATTTAATAAACTAAAACACATTCTAAACCTCACCCCTGAACTTGTTTATCATATTGGAGTCTTTATTAGGCAGTCTTTAGAACTGAGGGGGTCAGACCCATGTCAGACAAGCTTATGATTGTGTTTTTTACATAAATTTGATAATTGAACTCTTAAAATATGTTCTATTCATTGTATTGTATTTAATTGTATCATTGTTTGTTTGTATTGCTTGACCCTTATGGGTGTAATTTTGCAATGAAGATTTATAATTATTAAATTCTCTGTAAATGATCCCTATGAAAAATCTTGAACAATTTACACTTTCTTTGAAAACATATATGATAAAAAAAATCCATTTTATTACAAAAATTTAATTTTATTCATATTTATTTTTTGATCTTGTATATTATTTCATGAAATAAGTTAAACTAACAAAAATATTGTCATTTTGATTATAATGGCAAAAAAAAAAAAACACCATGAAATGTAATTTCTGAAATTAATTAATTTTACCTTTTAATTTTCCTTTGATGTAAATCTTCAAATAAACTGTAATATATCCAACATTCAAATACGAATTCAATGTTTAATGAGTTACCTTTTCCTTAACAATAAAACCATTTTATGATAAACTTTCACAAATACATAATCTATTTAGTGAATATAATCTGATTTATTGATTTTGAATTAAAAAAAACAACAATTATGTAACAAAAATTTATAGGGATTTAGTACAAAACCCTAAATACCTATCTCATCTGACATATATTTACGATGTTGCCATTATTTGGTTTTTAGAAAATAAATTACCAAATTGTCACTGGGCAATTATAATAAACTACAAATTCATTGAACACGGAAGAAGATTGATAGAATTGAAACAGTCTTGATATGAGGGTCTGAATGAGGTTTAGAGAATAGAAAATATTTGGCCAATATGGTAGAAACATGGGCCCAAAAAGTTAAGAATAGGGACAAAAAGCCAATAAAATAAAGTATAGAGAATGGGGTGCTAAAATATAAAGAATAATGATCAATATTACATTGGTAGCAATGAATTACATTGATTTCCCAGGCAAATAAAAACCGATAATTTCACATGTGAAATAAACGTGGTTATTTCACTCTCTGACGTCATACAACAATAGGCGTTGTCAAGACGTCGATAACGTCGGATCAAAACAAATTGTGAATGCGTAGAAAAAAATATAGTTCCTTACATTTTCTACATTAATTTCATTAAAAAAAGCCATTTGCCAATGTAATAAAAAGAATAACTAATCAAAGAATTCAAATATCGAAAAATATTCAACTCGTGACCAAACAACACTGATAATTAACTCATGCGCTACGCGCATTCGTGAATTAATGTGTTGTTCGGTCACTCGTTGAATATTTTTCTCTATTTGAATTCTTCGATTAGTTATTCTATAAATATTTATAAAGAATATTGGTCAAAATTTATAAAAAATATAGAAAAATGGTTTAAAAATTTAAAGAATACAGATTAGAAGGACAGTTCAAGGACCCCCATCCAGACCCTCTTATATAAATGACACAAGGTTCACTCGTAGACAAATAAAATTAGAAAGTATGTGACAATCCTAAGAAATACAGGTATGCATTTATTGGTATCTAAAGATTACGACCTACACTAAGAACTTGCAGTTATGTCAACACGGAGCATATATATACATATGTATTTAAAATCAATAGATTCAAATATTTATTAAATATTCAGAGTTCTCAAAATCTTTTTTCCCTCAGGTGGTCCTTGACGAAAATCTGCCTTTTTTGCAAAAGAGAGGCGAAAGATACCAAAGGAACATTCAAACTCATAAGTCTGACAACGCCATGGACAAAAAGGAAAAAAATACAAAATTGTGCATATCCTTTGCAAAATTTTGGTGGTCAGGACCTTCGGACCACCGCTTTTCCAGAAGTCTGCATGTTTTTGGGTTTTTTTTTAACGATGTATCTTCCTGGCTTGATATATAAATGAACCAGTTAATATATATTTTTACTTAAGTAAGATTTAACACACTATGTAAACAGTGTCCTCTTTGAAATGTGCCTTCTCATGGTGTTATGTGACTTATTTTCTTGAAAACTAAAGGTGCAATTAAATGCAACAAGGTACAGTGTACAAGTTTTCAATAAAACTTATAACGGTCAAATGAAAAGATTTGTAAGGAATTAAAATGACTTGGCATTTTCTAAACATGAAGTCACATTACATTCCTAATCACTTTCAATATAAAAAAGAAGATGTGGTATGATTGTCAATGAGACAACTCTCCACAAGAGACCAAAATGACACTGAAATTAACAACTATAAGTCACCGTACGGCCTTCAACAATGAGCAATGTAAAACAATTCAAACGAGAAAACTAACGGCCTAATTTATGTACAAAATAATGAACGAAAACAAATATGTTACACAGCAACAAACGACAAACACTGAATTACAGGCACACAGACTTGGGACAGGCACATACAGAATATGGTGGGGTTAAACTAGTTTGGATTGAAATGAACTCACAGAACCTTCTCCTTTATTGAATATTTTGAAGTACTAGTATTTCTTTTAGGATGTAATTCATGTGAAATTAAACCATCATTAGATTTCCAAAGCTCAGGCTAATTAAGTGTTAAATTCCATTACTATAAAATTCCCATATTGATTATGAATTTTACTAATTAAGAATGCTATTTCATTTCTCCATCAAGTATATAAAATTATTGCTTTAATGCAACATTAAAAGCTGAATTATCAGCTTCAACATATCAATTAAGGTAACATCAACAGGATGCCTTTAAAATATCTGCTGATTCGGCTTTTCTAAAAATGTGCATTTGTGATCGTCATAAAATCCTGTTAATGCTTGAGATTATTGACATTGGAATTTTCAAAGGAATTCTGGTTGTTAGCTGGAGATTAAATCTTCATGAACTTTTTCTTTTCCTGCATGACTTGCAGAGAATTTTTAATGCTATTGATTCCTTCAAATCCAAATTTAGACCCTCAGGCCACCCTTAAAAAATTCTTTGTTTGATGTTGCCTACCCATGCCTTGTAGGGTTGGGTAGGTAGGTAGGGATTTAATCTTTATTTTTTTTGCGGTCTTATAAAAATACCTGCTTCCTGCCCCCTTGCAGAAAAATATAGGGTAGGTAGATAGGTTAAATCATTTTACTATTGAAAAATGTTTTACATTGACATGATACAACACATTTTGCCCTACGATACAACATCTGAATTTGGCCAAACAATCAAACACATTATTTTGCCATATAATACAACACATTATTTTGCCCAAACAATCCAACACATCCTTTTGCCAAATGATACAACACATTATTTTGCCAAATGATACAACACATTGTTTTGCCAAATGATACAACACATTATTCTGCAAAACAACCCAATAAATTATTTTGCCAAATGATACAACACATTATTTTGCCAAATGATACTACACACTATTTTGCAAAACAATCCAACAAATTATTTTACCAAATGATACAACACAATATTTTTCCAAATGATACAACACATTGTTTTGCCAAATGATACAACACATTATTTTGCCAAACAATCCAACAAATTATTTTGCCCAATGATAAAACACATTATTTTGCCAAATGATACTACACATTATTTTGCCAAATGATGCAACACATTATTTTGCCCAAACAACCCAACACATTGTTTTACCATTTGATACAACACATTATTTTGCCACATGATACAAGACATTATTTTACCATTTGATACAACACATTATTTTGCCAAATGATACAACACATTATTTTGCCCAAACAATCCAACACATTATTTTACCATTTAATACAACACATTATTTTGCCACATGATACAACACATTATATTACCCAAACAATCCAATACATTATTTTACAAAATGATACAACACATTGTTTTGCCAGATGATACCTCACATTATTTTGCCAAATGATACCACATATTATTTTGCCAAAAAATGCAACATTATGTTCAGGAAACATGAACGGGATAAGAGAGATAACCCTTTAAATCAAAAATGCATTTGTAATACTCAGTTTCATTAATCCATTTAAAAGAATTCATGTGATCAAGAATTAAAATAATATCTTTTATCATCCTAAAGCATAGAACATTTTTATGAAAATGGTTAACACACAAAGTATTTTTGAGTTATGTTCCTTATCTTAAATGTGTAAGAACTAACCTCTGGTGCCATCCAGTATGGTGTGCCTACTGATGTTTTCCGTCTGCCTGCACTATTTTCCAAAATCGCTGAAACACCTTTAAAATAAAACAAAACGAAAACAATATAAATTCAGAATTCAAAGCAACTATTTATCAATGTTGAACATTTAAGGATGTTTGCTTGTCATGTTTTGGAATTTTTGTCAGATTTTCGGAATCCATGAGTTTTATCCATGTATTGCCATTAAAAAATTTTGCCCACTAACCCCTACTTTTCTTTTCATAATTTTATTACATATAGTTGTAAAAGCCATATTTGAAAATGCTATAAAATCCTTGTTATTTTTTCAGAATGCTTTAAAGAAAAAGGGTGCCAATGTTAAATGTATGAAAAGTCTAGAGAGAATAATTTCCCGCCAAATTTTCAATGGCTTATATCTCGAAAACAAGCACACGGACCCTTAATTTTTTTCTGCTTTTTTAGTTCCTTTATTTAAATACTATCAATTTATAACAGTCTTTTGAAAAGCTTGTTATTTTGAAACAGAGTAGCGAACATCCTTAAATTTGTGGTTCACCTTTCAAAGCTGTACCCCCCAAATCCACAAAAGTTTGTATCCCACCCATAATACTGAATCCACAGTAGACCAATAAGTTATAATAGGTTTTAACAACTTCCTAAACAATTAAATATTAACCAATGAAGTTAACATTTAATTTTTATTCTTCTGTACAAATAATTAAATTACCTAAAGTTGTTTAGATTCTGAAGCAGTTAACTATCATGTTTCATGTACATGAGTCAATATCCCTAATATTAAAGAACACAACTATAAATAGAAACAAAAAAAAATGTATTCAATGTTATTGCACATGATGCTATTTTTAGTAATTAACTAAGCTTAAACATTCAGATTTTTTGAAGAGCAGAAGACTGTACAATAAAGATGTAAAAACTTTGGTGTTATTCAATGTTTGTAAAAATATAAAGAACTGAATTTTTAGAGAATTAAACTCTGTGAAAATAATGACTTTTCTCGTTGAAACTGCATCACATGGGGCCTTTCAGGGTTTCCCAATTTGTGAAAAAATTAATCAAACATTGTACCCGGCAAATTTAACCACATCTGTGAAAATGTCTCAGCTTCTATATGAGCCATCATATATATATATCAAAGTTTACTATATGGACAGAAGAATTGTAGAAAAGGCTACCATTATCACAGCTATCTGAAATAAATTGCTCATATTGACCTTATTTTTGGAACTAAATTTGGAAGCTGTCTGATGTTATTCATTAATCTCCCAGAATTTAAAGCAGAAAAGTGGAAATGGCTTAATAAGACCCTTTTACACTTCCTAAATTAGTGATTCTTATTTCCAGCCCTATCACTATTTGATGGTATTGTTTTACATGTTTATAATCAATTTACAAAAGTCAATGATTTTTATTTCCAGCACCATCACCATTTATGGCATTGTTGTATGTAACCTTTAAAATGACCGAAATCAATGATTCTTATTTCCGACACTACATATCACCATTTTATAGTATTGTTTTACATGTATAACCATTAAGTGCCAATCTGCCTAAGAATCAGGTAGTGGTGAAAACATGACAAAAAAAACCCACTCAAGTTGACATTAATTTATGTTCAAATTGTATCATGGTGCACAAATATAACATTCGTTTCCTCTTCCTGTTCTGGTAACTCAAGATATAATTTGGTTGAAATGCACTAGAAATTAACAATTAAAGGGAGATAACTCTGTAATTTGCTATCATTCTAACCAAAAGTTATCTAGAGATTTCTCAAATTACCAGAAAAGCAGAAACAAAAGACCTACCATTTCTAACTCAGGATGAGGGTAACTTCAAAATAGGATAGATTTGTCGGTGGGTTTTTTTCAGCCATGTTTTGAAATTTTTCTAAATTGCCTGATTCTTACAAAGACTGGCACTTAAAACTTACCAAAGTCAATGATTTTCACTTCCCCACTATCATTTATGAGTATATTATGACCTTTTACATCACGATGTATGATATGTCGTGAGTGTAGGTGTGCCAGCACACTTAGAGTTTCATGTAATATATGGGCTATCAGCATTTCATCAAGTTTCTCCTCACGGTGATGCACCTCTCTTGATAAGTGAGTTACTGATCCTTTTCCACACAGCTGAAAAAAAAATATTTTAAATTCTATGACGAATAAAGGTATTTTATTATTAAAAAAAAATTGGCGTATTTACTCTAACTTTTCCAAAGGCAATGAATTATACAAATTTTTAGCATCTCTATATTTTAGCATTCTATGTTAAATATTTGCTACAAAGTTAGATATTTGCTACAAATATTTTGAAATTTTCTTTATTTTTTGTGTATTTCCATTCTAGCTTATCCAAAGGCAATGTATCACATATTTTCTCAAGCAACCCTATATTTCTTAATATTTCTTTCAATATGCATCCCAAATAAATGTCTGGCACAATTCTTGCCATTTCGATTACTGTGGATTCATTTATTTTCGTGGGTACCAATTTTCGTGGATTGATGAAAACCTGCATTTTCGTGGATATTTGATTTCGTGGTTTTGACAAAGTCTGCATACAGCACTATAGAAAATTTGCAGTTCGTTGAACATTTAAATTCGTGGTTCACCTGTACCCACGAAATCCACGAAAATTGGTATCCAACGAATAATAATGAATCCACAGTATCAGTATATTTTTTGTTCAGGCAAACTTTGGCATATTCTTGGCATTTTACATTCACATTATTTTTCAGCTTGCAAAAGTCTCCAAAAATAATTCATGACAATCATTTAGTTACCAGTATAGTTTAAATTTCAGTAGCAATAAAATTGAGAATGGAAATGGGGAATGTGTCAAAGAGACAAAAACCCGACCATAGAGCAGACAACAGCCAAAGGCCACCAATGGGTCTTCAATGCAGCGAGAAACTCCCGCACCCGGAGGCGTCCTTCAGCTGGCCCCTAAACAAATATGTATACTAGTTCAGTGATAATGGACATCATACTAAACTCCAAATTATACACAAGAAACTAAAATTAAAAATGATACAAGACTAACAAAGGCCAGAGGCTCCTGAGTTGGGACAGGCGCAGAAATGCGGTGGGGTTAAACATGTTTTTTGAGATCTCAACCCTCCCCCTATACCTCTAGCCAATGTAGAAAAAACAAACGTACAACAGTACGCACAGTAACACTCAGTTTAAGAGAAGTCCGAGGTCAGAATAGGAAACAAAAGAAAATAAACAAAATGACAATAATACATAATTAACAACAGACTACTAGCAAGTTACCATACTTTAAAAAAAAACCTATCATAATAAAAACTAGAGGCTCTAAATAGCTTGTGTCGAACCAATGGCCTATGTGCATATTCAACAAAGGACACTCTCCAACATTGTAGACGAGAATAGAATTCATGACAAAAATCTTTGTTTTGTTGATCTTGTATTGCTGATGATTTATTCTCTTTGGTTTCTCTCTATCTTCTTTAGTTTTTGTTCAAAACACAAAAGAGGGTAAAAAAAATCCTCATTCAAGGGCAATCACTCCTATAAAGAGTGACAGTCTACTAACTATATCGACAAAATTTGACTTGTTAGTAGATCTTGCCTTGCTGATCATTTTTGTGATTTAAAGTGTCTATTTATCTATTATAATTTTTATCATATAAAGCCAAATGCAAAAAAATGGTAAAAATCGACATTAAAGGGCAATAACTCCAATAAAAGAGGGACGAAAGATACCAGAGGGACAGTCAAACTCATAGATCGAAAACAAACTTACAACGGCATGGCCAAAAATAAAAAGACAAACATACATATAATAGTACAGATGACACAACATAGAAAACTAAAGACTAAGCAACACGAACCCCACCAAAAACTGGGGTGATCTCAGGTGCTCCCGAAGGGTAAGCAGATCCTGCTCCACATGTGGCACCCGTCGTGTTGCTTATGTTATTACAAATCCAGTAAATAGTCTAATTGGGTAGGTCACATTCATGAAACAGGAAGGGTATGGTCGTAACGACATAAGGAACATATACGATATCATCTGTGAAACGGTTATTCCATAATGGTCAACCAACTCGTGATGGCGTCCGTAAAATTTACAAAGGGATGATTTCAACTTCACCATTTGGAACTCTTGGTTTAATAGCTTCCTTGTCAGCAGCAATCAATAAGGAGTCATCGGACGATTTCCTCCTATTGTCTGGGGCCTGTTAAGACGTTTAAACCCGCTGCATTTGTTTGCACCTGACTTAAGTCAGGAACCTGTTGTTCAGTAGCTGTCGTTTGTTGATGTGCATGGTTCATAAGTGTTTCTCGTTTCTCTTTTTTTTTTTAGATTAGACTGTTGATTTTCCTGTTTGAATTTTTTACACTAGTCATTTTGGGGCCCTTTTTAGCTTGCCCTTTTTTAGTGAGCTCCGTGTTGAAAGCTGTACTTTAACCCATAATTGTTTACTATTTACACATTGTGACTTGGATGGAGAGTTGTCCCATTGGCACTCATACCACATCTTCTTATTTCTATTAATGGTAGATCTTGTCATACTGATCACTTTTGATTATTTAAGTTTCTATCTATCTATTATAATTTTTAGATATAAGGCAAAAACGCAAAAATTGGTAAAAATCGTCATGAAAGGGCAATAACTCTAATAAGGAGTCAACTGAAGATTTCGACAATGCAGACTTATTTGTAAAACTTGTCTTGCTGATCATTTTTGCAATTAAAGTTTCTCTTTATCTATTATAGTTTTCAAGATAATAGGCAAAAATGAAAGAAAAATGGTAAAATGTGTCATTTAAGGGCAATAACTGCTGTAAGAAGTTGTCTTGACAGTTTTGATGTATATGGACAATTGGTTCTAGAGCACAACATTCTGAACATTTTCGCTCTTTCAGATTTTCTCTATTTATAACTGTTTTCAAAATAACTTGCATTTTACCCTTATGTTCTATTTTTAGCCATGTCTGCCATCTTGGTTGGCAGGCAGGGTCATCAGACACAACTATAAAACTAGATACCCCAATGATGATTGTAGCTAAGTTTGGTTAAGTTTGGTCCAGTTGTTTCAGAGGAGAAAATTTTTGTAAAAGTTAACTGACGATGACGACGGACGCCAAGTGATGAGAAAAGCACACTTAGCCCTATGGGCCAGGTGAGCTAAAATGTAACAGATATATTTTTAAAACAAATTTAAACAATTTGCCTTTTAAAAATCTAAGGGACAATGTTTTAGTGTACCATTTTGAAAATTTTACCTAAAATGTATTAGATTCAGAAACAGCCAGTTTTTCAAAGGTCACATACATGTTTTCAGTGCAAAAGTACTATGGTTTTGATTTCCTTCGTGAATTTTCATGTAATCATAGGATTTGCATACATTTCTGTTGCTAGAATTTACATAATATTCATAGATCTTAAAGACATGTCTTTGTGTAGAACAGCAATTAATGCAATATACATGTAATTAAGCCAAGAAACAATTCTAATGCATTCCACTGATTCTTCAAAAACAAATTTTAAAACCCATGTATGCATGAGGATCTGTGTGTTTGGGATATTCATTTCTGCAGTGTTGAATTTCGATAGCCATTTTTCTCTATTGTTTAATTTTTTTGACAATTAATCCCTATTGTTTATAATTTGTTCTCATTTTTTATTGTTTTTGTGTTTTTTTTCGTATATTCTTTATTCAATAAACTCCCATCCAGACCCTCATGAATCTCAAATTAGTAGACTCAATGTATAAAAACATGAATAACGAACAATATTGTAAATTCAGAAATTATTGCATGCATTTATAGTTGCGATTTTTTAAGAATTAACAATAATGCAAGTTTAATAATTTCTATTTTAGGAAAAGCTTTATATTTATATATGAACCATATATCAAAATGCGAGTTCTTATTATTGCGATAATCAAGGAGTCACATTATTCGCATTAATAAAAATCTCGCATTTAATTTCTGAATTTACAGTATTCAAAATTCAAGAAAGATTTGGATACAAAGTTTTTCATTTTACTCATACATAATGCAAATACAATTCAATATGTCTGTTCGGAAGAACAAGTCTTCTCTACATAGGAATAAAGGATAGATGGATTGGTGTTAGCCGCTCAGTGGCAAAGCAAATATTACACTCATAACATGTATATTATATGAATATGAATATGAACACTGCTTTCTGGTTCTACTAACATGACTAAACCAAGACCAATTTTTAATTTGTTATAGTTTACAATGTTAGTCAGCAGGAAGACATGTCACCCTTCCTAGACACATACATTTATCATGTTTAAGATATTTTCTACTCTAATACCAGACCAGCCTTTGTTCTTACCTTTAAATGCAACATTCTTAGCACAGAAAAAAATGTGAATAATAGGAGATGTGGGTCACATGTATAACTCAATAAGACAGCAACAAATGACACTTATAAACAACAAACATCTAGAGATAAACATCCAGTATTCAACAATAGATAGGGGTATAATAAAACATGTCAGGCTCTGATCCAAAACACTTGTTAATCATTCAAAATGTCAGTAACAAAGATCTCAAATCAATACAAATTCTACAGAAACATTAAGATATGCAGGGTTTTTTTTTGCTTTTATCAAGATTTGAAATTCTGTGGATTCACTATTATTCATGAAAACAAGTTTTCGTGGATTTTGTGGGAACAGGTGAACTCCCAGTTTAAATATTCAACAAATAAGAAATTTAAAACTTTAGCAATACCATGAAATCAAATATCCAAGAAAATTTAAGTTTTCCTGAATACACGAAAACTGGTACCCACAAAAATAAATGTATCCACAGTAATTCAGGTTTTACTGTATTACCTCCATCACAATCCAGATCTGATTGTCCATCCCAGGTTTTAGGAACAGCCCATAAAACTTTGGCATGTTTGGATGGTCTCCATGTTCACTCAGGATAATAAACTCCTGTTCTATTTCTTCTATCATTTCATGGATGGAGTCCAGGACCTTGACAGCCACCTTCTCTCCTGTAAAACAAAGAGTTATTTAAGGATTTTAGTCCATCAGTCTCCTTGTCATTACACAAATTTTATAATCTTTTTAATTGCAGTCTTTGATTGTTTCTGTTAAATCTTTTCGCAACTTTTATAGACTCAGGACAATTTAGAGATTGACATATTGACTGCTTGACTATAATTTGATTAATTGCTAGATGGTGCTTTACACTACTTTCAGCACTCTTTGTTGTATCATGGTGGGCACTTAATATTAATGGAGGAAACCATTGTACCTGAAGAAAACCATGACAAATTGTGTAGACAATTACCTCATGATCATGATTTGTTAAAGATTGTATGTTCACTAAGTTGCCCTTTTGATGTTTTTGGTTATTTTTGTTGTTGGGCTACTGCCTCATTGAATTAAACCCACAATTTTTTTTATACATTTTTTTAGTTTGTCTTCTTGGCATTCATTATTATTATTGTGGAGTACACCTTTTTTTTGGATTTCATGGGCTGATAGATGATGACTACGTACAGATTTGAAAATTCAAAAAAGTACAAAATTTTCATAAGATTGTATGCAGAGCATGTCAAAACCATAAAATCAAGTTTCCAAGAAATTCAATTTTATTATCATTCAGGGCCTTCATTTCATTTTAGCATGATATTCATAATTGTATTGAATATGCCTGTAATATTTGCCACTGGATATAAAGCATCTATCAATCAACTGATCAGAATTTAGGATTTCCATGACAAAAAGTGTCAAGTGACTATTAAAATATTTGCACTTAATATTTCCTCCGTGAAAATCAATAAAAAGATGCTTATTTATACTTGATCTGCAAATTACGAAATCTTATATAAAGAGTGTGATAAAATATTCCTACTTAAATCGGCATGCTTGATTTGACGTCAAAACAAAATCTAATCTCAACTTCACATGGCTGCACATCCTTTTTCAGTACAATGTAATGATGAAAGTAAAGGGCCTAGCAATAAAGTTCAATATTCGATTGAAACTTCATTAAAACATACTTGTAGCTTACACTAATATGTAAAATCGAATATCATTCTTTAATGAAATTTATTTGTGCAGAACACGAAAAAGGGGGAAAAGTCATACTATTCAATGAAAAATATATGTTTTTAAAGAGACAAAAACTGTTTCTTTTTCATAAAAGTTTAAATTCCCATAAGGTTTCAGTAAGTCAACAACAATTTCAAAGAATTCTGGTAAAAAAAAAGGGAATACATTGAAGGGGATTTGGGTATAAATCAATAAGACAGCAACCCAACAATACAATGATAAACAATCAAAGGTCAATTGGACTAAAAATCTCAGTTATGACCAAGGTCACAGTAATAATTATATCAACTATGTCACCCTATTCACAGAAGGATGGCTGAAACTGAGAAGTAAACTGTCCTTTTCATTTTACTTTTAAAGTCTACAGGCAATGGTGAAAAAAAGTATTTCAATTGAAACCAACACCATAATGCAATTATTAGGACTTCACCTAATGAAAGGCTGACAAGGGTGTAATAAAAGCATTTCTGTGTAAAATGGAAACTATTTGGCTAACACTGGAGGTCATTCAAAACAAAGTTGTATGTGATTTGTAACTATTCATTATATATAAATACAAGAAGGTATGGTATGTTTGCCAATGAGACGACTCTCCATCAGAGACCAAATGACATGGAAGTTAACAACTAATTAGGTCACTGTACGGCCTTCAACAATGAACCCATACCGCATAGTTAGCTAAAAAAGGCTCCAACATGACAAATATAAAACAATTCAAACAAGAAAACTGACAGCCTGATTTATGTACAAAACAATAAACAAAAAACAAATATGATATACAGCAACAAACAACCACCACAGAATTACACTCCTGGCTCCTGACTTGGGACAGCCACATACAGAATGTGGCGGTGTTAAACATATTTGATAGCGCTCAAACCTCCCCCTAACCTTGGACAATGGCATAGCACAACATGAGAACAAACTTTTTATAGCATATAAATCAGGTATTAGCTCAATATGCAGGAAATTGTTATTTTAAGGGAAGTCTAAAGGCTAATTTACTTTAAGGTCTTAAGTATGTCATTTGCAATATAAAATATAAAATTTCTCTTTATTTAGCTACTTAAAAATTCACAAAAATATGTCAACTAGAGAAAAATTACACCTAATCCATGACTATCTATTTAACAAATATAAACCAAAAAACTTTCTTTACTCATTTTACCATTACATATTCAATTATTTTTAAATTGGTTGTCATGATCATGTTGAAAACAAGGATTTTTAAACTTAACAAATCTCCAGTGGTGACTATATTTATGACTTAGTTTCAGATTTCAGCAGAGAAGGTTTTTTGAAGAAGAAAAACAATAGTGGACACACAGAAATGTCTCGCCTGTCGTGTATTTCTAATTGAAGTTATGTTGAAAGTAAATGCTATCAGACATACATTATAAATTTTAAGCTGTAAATAATGAGATAATGTCGCTGCTGCTGATGCCTGTATGAACGCTAAAGCTGCTGCCAGGCCTGCTGAGGACAACTATCATAGTGTCTTCATACTACTAATTGTATAGGTTATTATCCGCTATGAGGATATGCTGAATAAGTGTGGTTAAGAGTGAAATAACTTAGTGATATACCATTGATATTGATTATTGTGATTAAAGATGGCAGCGAAGAATGAAAAAAAACTAACATTGACCTATGAACCATGAAAATAAGGTCAAGGTCATATGAATGCTGCCAGACAGACAGATACGCCTTACAGTCATTCCATACACCAAATATAGTTGACCTATTGCTTATATTTTCTAAGTAACAAAGTTCAGCATTAAAACTTAAAATTGACCAATGAGCCATGTAAAAGGGGTTAAGGTCATATGATACCTGGTGGACAGACATAAATACCTTATAAACATTCCATACACCATATATATAGTTGACCTATTGCTTATAGTTGAACAAAAATAGACCAAAACACCAAATTTTAACACTGAGCAATAAAACGTGAAAATCAGGTCAAGGTCAGATACCAGAGGGACGAAAGATACCAGAGGGACAGTCAAACTCATAGATCGAAAACAAACTGACAACGCCATGGCCAAAAATAAAAAGACAGACAGACAAATAATAGTACAGATGACACAACATAGAAAACTAAAGACTAAGCAACACGAACCCCACCAAAAACTGGGGGTGATCTCAGGTGCTCCCGAAGGGTAAGCAGATCCTGCTCCACATGTGGCACCCGTCGTGTTGCTTATGTTATTACAAATCCAGTAAATAGTCTAATTCAGTAAGTCACATTCGTGAAAAGGGAGGGTATTGTAGTTACGACATAAGGAACATATCCGATATCATCTGTGAAACGTTTATTCCATAACGGTCAACCAACTCGTGATGGCGTCCGTAAAATTTACGAAGGGATAACTTCAACTTCACCATTTGGAACTCTTGGTTTAATAGCTTCCTTGTGAGCAGCAATCCTCTATCAAGGAAATCATGATAGGAAACACAAGCCCGGGGAATATCGTATCAATTGGGAGATATATACTCCGTATGCAGGCGCTGCTGGAATGTTGCTACATAGAAATGGAAAGTTCACAATTGGGAAGCTGAAATCATCTCTTTTGTCGTAAAGTTTTGTTTTCAACCGACCCTCATTGTCAATATCTAGATGTAAGTCAAGATATGAGGCAGACTTAACTGAATCTGTAGTATCCTTATCAGATAAAACCTGCGGGACAGACATTTATTTAAAAACCAGTTGTTGGCATGACACGGGTTATGTACTTCTCATATATGTTATGATGGTATGATACTAAACCCCCAACGGGAAGGATTGTGCCTGATATTCATATGATGAAGACATAATCTTTCAATCAGTTTAATTGAAGTCTGGAGCTGGCATGTCAGTTAACTGCTAGTAGTCTGTTGTTATTTATGTATTATTGTCATTTTGTTTATTTTCTTTGGTTACATCTTCTGACATCAGACTCGGACTTCTCTTGAACTGAATTTTAATGTGCGTATTGTTATGCGTTTACTTTTCTACATTGGCTAGAGGTATAGGGGGAGGGTTGAGATCTCATAAACATGTTTAACCCCGCCGCATTTTTGCGCCTGTCCCAAGTCAGGAGCCTCTAGCCTTTGTTAGTCTTGTATTATTTTTAATTTTAGTTTCTTGTGTACAATTTGGAGTTTAGTATGGCGTTCATTATCACTGAACTAGTATATATATTTGTTTAGGGGCCAGCTGAAGGACGCCTCCGGGTGCGGGAATTTCTCGCTGCATTGAAGACCTGTTGGTGGCCTTCTGCTGTTGTCTGTTCTGTGGTTTGGTTGTTGTCTCTTTGACACATTCCCCATTTCCATTCTCAATTTTATGTACATCCTAAAATATTTCCATACACCAAATATAGTTCACCTATTGCATATAGTATAAGAAAAAAGGACCAAAACTAAAAAACTTAACTTTGACCACTGAACCATGAAAATGAGGTCAAGGTCAGATGACACCTGCCAGTTGGACATGTACACCTTACAATCATTCCATAATCTAAATATAGTTGACCTATTGCTGTATATATTTGAAAAATAGACCAAAAACAATAACTTAACATTGAGCAATGAACCGTAAAAATGAGGTCAAGGTCAAATAAAACATGCCAAACTGACATGTACATAGTAAAATATTTTCATACACCAAATACAGTTGATTTATTTTATACAGTATAAGAAAAACAGACCAAAACACAAAAACTTAACTTTAACCAATGAACCATGAAAATGAGGTCAAGGTCAGATGGCACCTGCCAGTTGGACATGTACACCTTACAATATTCATTCCATACACCAAATATAGTAGACCTATTGCTTATAGTATCTGAGATATGGACTTGACCACCAAAACTTAACCTTTTCACTGATCCATGAAATGAGGTCGAGGTCAAGTGAAAACTGTCTGACGGGCATGAGGACCTTGCAAGGTATGCACATACCAAATATAGCTATAGTTATCCTATTACTCATAATAAAAAAAAAATTAAGAATACTAAAAATCTTTACTTTTTTTCAAGTATTCACTGAACCATGAAAATGAGGTCAAGTTCGATAGACATATGACAGACGGAAACTTCATAACATATAAGGCATCTATATACAAAGTATGAAGGATCCAGGTATTCTACCTTCTGAAATATAAAAGCTTTTAAGAAGTTATATATATATAGCCAACACCGCCGCCGCCTAATCACTATCCCTATGTCGAGCTTTCTGCAACAAAAGTCGCAGGTTCAACAAAAAAAATACAACTAAGAGATCACAATGCAATGCAACATCCCTGATTGAACTCTCCAGTTTTATGCCTGCAAATGAAAAGCTAAGTGCTCTGGAGAGTCAACAGTTTCTATCATGCATTATATATTCCTTCAGTGATTTATGTTATAAACTTTTACCCTTTGGCAATTTCTCTTTTTTGTCTTTCTGTTTTTGATAAACCCATTAGTAATGATTTTAATTATCATCCTTAGAAATTTATTAGTGTAAGAGCTCGAGTCTCTAAAAGCCCATTTTCCATTCATAATGTTTTATTCAAAAGGTAATATCAGTTAAATAGTCCATTATAAGAATTATCAAGAGACTAATTGTAAAGCTATTTGTCCACATTATTATTTTGTAACCCAAAGACAGTGATTTACTAAATAAACATTTGGTGTATTTATATAGAATTTTTTATCGATTTCAGGAACCACAAGGTTATTTGTTTTCATGATAAATTTATATACCAAGGGTAAACAATTTAATGTTATAATGAAGAGATGTGGTTTAATCCTATACACCAGAGACCAAATGAGATGGATGGAAGCAACTAAAGGTGACAGTACAGCCTTCAACAATGAGTAAAACCCATACTGTTTAGTAAGCTTTAAAGGGCCCTGGTGTGGAGATGTCAATTAATGGAGAAAACCAATGGCCCTAATTTAATAATTGTTTACAGTTCACATGTCTCTTAACTCCTTTTGGTCTGATTGAGATAGATAAAAAGGGGAACACTCATTGAGATCTAAAAAAAAAAAACAGGTTCCTTGTCAGTGGTTGTCAAATGTGCTTAATATTGATAATTTTTTGTGTCATTTTTGGTTAGGTAATTTGTTGTTGATGGAGATTTTTTAAAATTCCTCAGATAGATCTTTTATCTACTTTTTTAAACTAAGCTTGAATTTTAGCTTGACATAAAAGTTAATAAGAATATGTATTATGCTAGTATAAGGATTTATCTTAATTTGGCAGAAATATGCTGGTTTTTGACCAATTTCTTTAAATACTAACCTTTTTTCAGAATTTGCTATGTTTTGATTTAAAGCCAAACCAATAACATATGTGTTTAGGGTCTCCCCCACAGAAAAATAGGACACACCAGGGAAGTAAGAAGATTTTCTTTATTTATTTCACTTATTTTTTTTATCTTATGTATATGGAGTCAACCTGCAACTTTAACACAATTTATTACAATAGTGTCATAAGACTTTAGGGTAGGCATTAAGAGAGGAAAATTCTGTGTAGAAAACCTAAACACAACTATTTTTTCAATTGGGCCTAACTGTCCACTCCAAAAATGTTCAAAATCCCAGTTAAAGAGCCTCGATCAAATCATTAAAATAGGGTATGAAACCTAAACAAGTATTTTTAATTTTGGCCTAAATTTTCATGCACCTATACACTATAGCTATCCACTCCAAAAATGTTCAAAATCCCAGTTAAGAGCCCCAAATCATTAATCACCGTAACGGGTGTTTACCATTACATGTGTTTGAAAACTGCATAGGACTGCATTCATTCATTCAGATTTGTATTAAGCCTGTCAATACATTTCCAATCATGCAGACAGCATAAACAGATAGATAAATAAAGGAAAAAATAATTATGTAGCCTTGGAATTATTATCATAAGTAAAGGGTATTTATACTTGTACATGATCAAGTTTCAAACTTTTACCATAATGTGAGGGTGTGGATGGGGGTCCTTCATTTCTGTATTCTTTAATTTTTCTAAGCAATTTTTCTCTATTCTTTATCAATTTTTCTCATAATCCTGATTAATATTTTTTATTCTTTATTTTTTTGGCCTATTTTTCTCCATTCTTTAAATTTTTTGCCCTTTATTCTGCACTTCTTGCCCATTTGTTCTTTATTCTGTAAACCCCATCGAGACCCTCTACTATATCATATTTATATATATAGATATTCTAACATATCTTCAATCATTTTCGACCAATATATCTACCAGACATTCTAAAATATCTTCAATTATTTTCCTCATTTCAAAAGACGAATCTTCAAATAATTATTTAATACCACAAAGAGTCATGTTTTATGATATACCATTTTTATATATATGCTATATTAGTATATTATATTACGATATTAGTTTCAGAAAAAATTATCATTATTGCCGTTTTAATTCTAATATACCATAAAAAAAAATCGCATTTTATTCTTTTACCACAAAGAATCATGTTTTACGGTTTACAATTTTTATATAAATATATGCTATATCAATATATTTTATTACATGTACTATATTAGTCTCATAAAAAGGTATTATTCTTAAGAAGTCAGGAATCTGTATAATATTTCAACTAAAACAGCTAGATATCCACACTAATTAGATTAGGAATAACATTCTGGACTTAGATAAATCATTGCCTTAAATTCTGTATTACAACAAAGTTTAAAAAAAGAGGTGGAAGATTTATCAAGAGGACATTCAAATCTCATAAATAATAATCAACTAGTAATTAATAAGTATTTCATCAAAAATTTAATTCTAGGGAAAGGGCTTTAACTGAACAAGGAGAAAAGCTAAAATCGTGAAAATCAAACTTAACCTTAACTTTTCATGATGAAACAATACACCAAATATCAAATCAATATCTTCAAGCATGAAGAAAAAAAGTCTGGAAAACTGATTTGCCGGACTGACGGATGGACAGACGGACGGACGGATGGACAGACAGACGGACAGAGTGCAAAACTGATGTGCCCTTCGACTTCCTTGATAAGACTAATAATTAAGTCGAAGATAAACTACAAACGCCATGGCATTAAACAAAATCGACAAAAAGATAAAATAAAAAAAAAACACTACATAGAAAACTAAAGACTGAGCAGCATGTGCAACTATAAATTTATTCGTCTATTTAAGGAATTACTGCAATATTTTTCTGTCTATGAAGAAATAACATAAAAAATGTGGTGCACACTGAATAACCCATGTAGCGGATTATTTAAAAGTGTGCACCACATTTTTGAGGTTATTTCGAATAGACAGAAAAAATATTACAGTCATTCCTTTTAATTTAATTCGATATTCCATTTTTAAGGAGTAAATCATGAAAAAATGTTGATGATGTAACAGTCACATGATAAAATTATGTCTATGAGCTGATAGACAAAAAACTTTCAGCCAATCAGAAGACGCATTACATCCAAGATTAAATTGTATGAAAGAATACAGACTGATGTATAACTATAATAATATCAGTTATTTTCATGGGTACCAATCTATTTGCATTGATGAAAAGTTACATGATACTCATTTCATGGTTTTAATCCTCCCTATATAAATATATACTCTCAAACTTATCATTTTTCCATAAAATATCCCTAACTCTCATGAAAAAGTAAAGGTTAATAATAAATCAGTAAGAATGATACCTGTAACTTTGTGTTTGGCCGTGTAAACATCTCCGTATGTCCCCTCTCCTATGAGGTCCTCTAGCTCCCATGTGTCTGTAGGGTCTGGAAGCTCTGTGAATTTAATCACCCGTGAGTAGGTGTTATATAACTGAAGCATACCTTCAGATTTCTTAAGGTTCTTATCTGTTGAAATAAAAAAAAAAATAAGATTACTACCATTCACTGACTAAAAAAGAATAAAAGTAAAGAAAAAAAGTATACATAAAAACTAATCATTACATTATTGTTATATAATTTGAGTTAGAGTTATTCCCCTTGGTCACCATGTTGAAGGGCAAACTAGTTGAATTTCTTAATTCACTTATGATTTACAAATGCATGTATATATATATATATATATATATATATATATGGTACAAGCAGGTTTGGGAAAAGATCCTTACTTAAGACCATAGTAATGAATTATATTAAAGACTAAAACAAATGAAATTATTCAGAAACCAGAGTTTACCAAGTTGAATTTGGTAGATTTCTGCAGAATTTTGAGCATGTTGCACTCTAACATGACTGCAAAGGGAAGTTACTTGAACTCAAATTATGTCTAGGTATATAAGCTAAACTAACTGCAAATGAATAAATGTTGACATTAATTTTAAATAACCTCAGGAAAATACTACATGTGAACCAGACTTGACCTCTCTATAAAGTTTAATTGATTAATGGCTGTTCAATGTCCAGTGGCAAGTATTACATGTTTACTCATGACACTAGTACTGTACACATGAGAATACCATGGTTTGTACAAGATCAACCATTGAGTCAAATATGAAACGGCAGGTTCGCATCACAATCATGTGACAATGTTTATAGCCTGGCCCAAAATTATTTAGGTAAACTACAGTCAAATCTGTTTATGAAGGTCATCCTGGTAACCAGAAAAAAACAGGTCTGATGTTCAGTGGTTGTCGTTTGTTGATGTGGTTAATAAGTGTTTCTCATTTCTTGTTTTTCATATAGATTAGACCGTTGGTTTTCCTGTTTGAATGGTTTTACACTAGTCATTTTTGGGGCCCTTTATAGCTTGCTGTTTGGTGTGAGCCAAGGCTCCGTGTTGAAGGCCGTACTTTGACCTATAATGGTTTACTTTTACAAATTGTGACTTTGATGGAGAGTTGTCTCATCTTCTTATATCTATTATAAGATAAGTGACTTTTGAATTGTATACATATAACTGAGACAAGAAGAGGGTGACCAGACAAGACATGTTTTCCTTAATAAAGGTGTTCTCCTTTATAGCAGGCTTGACTGAACATTCAAATAATTGCTAAAATAAAATGCTTTTTATTTTGTCTGTGCGATCAAAATCTTGCTAAAATGCTTCAAATTTGTCTGAGCAATCAAATTCTTGCAAAATGCTTCTAAATTAACATGAAATAATAATTACACATGGTACTTGAGCATAATCTCTGTAATGGAGCTAATTGAAATTTCTTCAGGAATTATTAAGTATAAAAATAAGGAGATGTGATATGATTGCCAACGAGACAACTATCCACCAAAGTTCAAATGAAGTGGATGTAAGCAATTATAGGCAACCTTATGGCCATCAACAATGAGAAAAACCCATACTGTATGGTTGGCTATAAAAGGCCCCGACATGAAAAATATGAAAGTCCTTGTTTTTGGTAAAAATCGATCTATTTTCTATTTTCTACCTAGGTTTAAACCTTAAACCATTAACCTTCACTTACTGATTTCCAATGCAGACAATGATAATCTGCCAAAAATCTCATCAGACTCTATAGTAGCAATATCTTCCAAGAGAACCATTTGGTAAGTAATCAAATGTTTTTTTTTTCAAAAATCCTTTTAAATATTCTTTGAATTTGATGTAAATGTTTGAATTACACCCCAAAAAAATACACTAAAAACTTTTCAAGTTTCTGTGTTAACTTTAAAAATGCATAAATATTAATGCTCCTTTTTCATTGAATTTTTACTAAAGTATGCTCCATAAAGTCCATTTCCATATGATTATTTATTTAAAATATGCTCCAGTTCCAAATTAAACTTTATTGAAAATATGCTCCTTCTCCATATGAAAATTTATTGTAAAATTGCTCCTTCTCAATATGAGCATTTACTTGTAAAATTGCTCCTTCTCAATATGAGCATTTACTAGTAAATATGCTCCTTTTCCACATTAGAAGTTATATTGAATTTTTGGTCTTTTCCCACTTCAGTAGTTACTGAAAATATGCTTCTTTTTCTAATAAAAGATTATTGAAAATACCCTCTTTCTCTAAATGAGCATTTACTGAAATATGCTCCTTTTCAAAATGATTATTTTATCTACTGAACACATCTCCTCAGTAACGCATTATTGAATCTCCCAGTAGAATTCATGTTTAACACAATTATTGCTACCACTATAATAACTAGAGCTATAAAAGGCTCCTGATACAGTTTTCAGAAATACACATGCAGGATATTAAATGAAAGTTCTTTTTTCAAATTCTTTTGCAGAAGTATATAATGCACCTCCATTAAATTAGCAATTTTACAGCTCCAAAAAAATACACTTAGTACTGACATAATATATTTGCTAAGTCCTATTTTATGAATAAAACCATGCACTAATAATTCCTAGTACAATTATAACATATATTTCAAACAAATATACATTAAAGAAGTCCAAAGTAGCCCTGTAATTGACAGAGGCAGTGGGTATACGTAATACCTTTCATTCAGAATTCGAAGCCATTACTAATACAAGATTTAAATGTAAGATATAATTGTCCTACACACTTATCTATATACTAGCTGTTATATGAAACCAAAACAATGGGTTAAGGCCTAGGCAATTACAAATTAAAGTATTATAAGTTTTCTCAAATTCTTCAATGAACCAAAAATAAAAGCTTTTGTTTTTAGCTTGAAAAACAGTTGAATTTAGCACTATTTAGCATGCTTATTCCTACTTTTTGTTTACATAAATAAAATTCAGTTTTTGGGCCAAATCTTTATGTAACCCCTGCCAAAATACATATGTATTACTGTTATGATTGTTATTTTGTAGTACAGGTTCCTGGTTCAACTGGTAAATAGTGCTTCTTATATCAATAGATTGTATATGTGTGAATTCACCTAAGGAACAAAGATTTTTAAACAAATTTGTTATGTCAGCTGTGTAAAACCACTGTATACAATTTCCCTACACTTTAAAAAAGTTTGACCCCCTCCCCCTGTTGTAAAGGACTGTTTTAATACATGAGCTTTAGGATAGTGGTAACATTTCAATGTGGAGGTTGCAAAAGTTTTATCACATGACATTTTTTTTCTATGCATCTGCAAATCAAGCAAATGGAATTAATGTGAACAGATTTGTATTCAAAAGATTTGACCAAATTATTAGTTTTCAATTTTGATCATCTTCATCCTACTGAAACCTTAGATGTTCAGGTGACGTTACCAATAACTTGATATTTAATGCAGATAATATTGTTGTTGATCCCAAATGGGAAATATGCTCTAAACTTTATTACATAATAAAGTATATTTTGTGCGTAAAATGATATCTTACCCCTGTAAATTTCCATAATTATGATTTCATTTGCATAATAATTTCAGTCGTAATGTGTTTTCATGCTATATAAATAAGGAGATGTGGTATGAGTGCCAATGAGACCTCTCCATCCAAGTCACAATGTATAAAAAGTTAACAAATATAGGACAAAATTATAAACGGCCTTCAACACGAAGCCTTGGCTCACACCGAACAACAAGCTATAAAGGGCCCCAAAAAGACTACTGTAAAACCATTCAAATAGGAAAACCAACGGTCTAATCTATATAAAAAACGAGAAACAAGAAACAATACAAGTTAAATGTATACAATTTTGAAGAAAAAGTAAAACAGAATGATTGAGGTAAACAGTTTAGAATTAACAGTTGCAAATTAAAGAACGTTTGTTTATTGCTGTTTTATACTTATCATAAAATTTGGTCCAAGGTCCTAAGTAAATCAAATGAGCCTTAAATACAATAATTCTATTTCAGTACAAGGTCAAGGCATTGTATAGCATGCTAAGGTCTTATCTATCTAAATGCAATCAATCTTTTACATTCTAATTAAATATATTAACAAAAAAGAAGATATAAAACCATCAATGTAACGTACAGATTTATTCTAGACAAAACTTTGCTTATTCAACTAAAAATTACCATAAACTACATGACTGAGGAAACAAAGGTGTTTTTCTCCGACTCAGGTACTGAGGTCAGAGGTCAAGAAAATAACCCGGTACCATAAATCAACTAAGTGTTAGAGAAGTCTTAATATTGCGTAGTGGATAATAGATTCATTTATTGTGCATGAACATACACAAACATTTATTCTACAAGAGTCTGACATAACACGAAAATGGTTCCATAAGACAATGTGCCCCTACTAGCACCATCGCATTTCCATGTTAAGTGAACCATGATAAAAGGGTCAAAACCTAAGTTGGGATATATTTTATGACGCTCACATCATAATGAACCTGTGTACTTATTTTCAAATTTATGTGACAACAGCTTCATGATAAAACTACTTCAACCAAATATTTTAACCTACTAGACTAACCAAATGCTTTAACCTTAACTAGACTACTAAACAGACTGACAGACAGACCCACAGACTGGAAAACATAATTTACCAATTAATCGAAACTTGTTGAAGATTGATTTAAATTTTATTGAACAATTGAGGAATTCTGGCTTACACGAGAGAACGGAAGTTTGTAACTGCCAAAGGTCATTCTTTAGAAAACAATTGATCTGAATTGTAATAGTAGGGAAGGAGCTGGCCCAACAGCTTGGGAGGGCGTGTAAGCCCTATTTTACTCATCAATTGTTCAATAAAAATCTAATCAATTCTCAACAAGTTTCGATTAAGTTGGAAATTTTATTGAAGAATAGATGACTAAGTTGCTTCCACTAGACTTTAGAGTTCTACATTTGAGATCATTCATAACAGGATATCTGCAATGCAGGCAATATTTTTGATAATAATAATAAAAATTCTGGTAATGTACTATTCTATTATTTCAAACCATAGTTACATTTGTAAAGAATTGATTGGTCGAAATCTAATTATGACGTCAAATTTTCTTGGTTTCTTCTGAATTTCCTATTGTGACGTCATGAAAAAAGGCAACCATGCCTGATGATGTCACATAAAAAGAACACAACTTTTTGCAAATCTTTCAAAAGGAAGGATAAACTTTGTTCTAAAAATCATTATAGAAACAAATTCCACCACTATTACTCGCGTATTACAATATTTCTCCACTCTCAACAGTTTAATTTCAATTATTTAAAAAGGTCGGCAAGCCTTGCACTTTAAACATTAAAATTTAACTGTCTGGTATGGAGAAATATCGTAACACACTTGATGCAGTGGTGGAATCTATATATTATTATTTGTTTTTCAATAGCAGCTATCACTTAAAGTTTTTGTCTGAATAGGTGTCAACACAGTCGCCTGAAGATTTCATAATTATAGCGAAAAAATGGTGGAAATAAAATATATATAATACTACTAAAAATATTTTATTTCCACCATTTTTTCGCTATAATTATGAAATCTTCAGGCGACTGTGGTTTCAAATAAAATTTATAAAACATTTGTGCTGAGCTCCAACAAGGTGTTTTCAGTATACTCATCTTTAATCAGAAAATTAAAAAGTTTATCAATAGTGCATACTGTGGATTCATTACCAATTTTCGTGGATTCAGTGGACACAGGTAAACAACTAACTTACATGTCCAATGAAGTCAAGTTTTCAATAGGCTTTTATAGAGACTTTGGAAAACCCAGGAATTCAAATACAGGTATACTAGAAAATGCAATTTTTCCTCAATTAGCAAAAATTTGTATGATGAAAATAAATTAATCCACAGTACATTAGTTCATATAATTTAACAACTAGACATGAAAAATTTTGCAAAACAGAAGCAAATCCTGCAACGAAACAGTGACTGTGTCAATGTGAGCCAGACTAAAGTTTCTTTCTTTTTTTATACCAATGAATTCACTTTGTTAATGTATTGTTTCAAATTGAGTGGATAGTTGTCTCATTGGCAATCATACCACATCTCCTTATTCTTATACTGCAGATTATGCAAAAGTAAAAAAGATATAGATATAGGAAGATGTGGTATGAGTGCCAATGAGACAACTCTCCATCCAAGTCACAATTTGTAAAAGTAAACCATTATAGGTCAAAGTATGGCCTTCAACACGGAGCATTGGCTCACACCAAACAGCAAGCTATAAATGGCCCCAAAAAATTACTAGTGTAAAACCATTCAAACGGAAAAACCAACGGTCTAATCTATATAAAAACGAGAAACGAGAAACATGTATGAACTACATAAACAGACGACAACTACTGTATTCAGATTCCTGACTTAGGACAGGTGCAAACATTTGCAGTAGGATTAACCGTTTTAATGGTACCAAACCTTCTCCCTTTTCTGAAACAATAGTATAACATCACAATATAGAAAAACACACTATAAAATATCAATTGGAAGGCTTAACTCAATCAAAAAACGCAAATTAACAGACAATGAACGAATAAATTTGACCTGTGACACCTGAATGCAAATACACAGTTAATAAAAAATTACAAGGGATAGATAATTAAAGTCAAAAGTAAATAAACAGGTTTAAACAAAGTTAAAGTATGATATCACTGTGACATATATTCATAATATATAAAAGTCTGCAAGGAATCGTTTTAATTGTAAAGAATATATAATCTACAGGTCAAGCTATGAATTAGCAACAAAATTATATCTTAGTCAACTTTAATTATTTTTTGTCCCAATGTCGTGAATGTATGGTCTAGGTCAGTGCACTTTCTTTTATCTAAAAGAAAATAAATTTACATATTTGCTTACTTGAAAAGACTTATCTCAAAACGAGTCCTATGAAAACTTTCGATTCTTAACAAAACAAACATACACTATGTTCAAGTAGATATGAATAGGTCTACATAAAAAGTTGAGAGTACAAAGATAAAAGAATGTACTTGCAAAATTAATATTTACTATTAAAATCAAAAGTATTCCTGACTATTTTTTCTAACTGCAACATTTGAAAAGGTTAAATCCTATAGGATTGAGAAAGTTTCAAAATAAAAAATCCAATATATATCTAATCTGTTTTTATCATTTTTTTTTTCAAATACACAATTAAAATAAACTACTTAATAAACAGAAAACATATTTCATAATTTTGTCTATTTCCTTCACATCAAATATTGACTAAATTTCGGAACTGTAATAAAAGATGAGTAAAAATGATTTCTTACCAAAGGTATTCTGTTTAATTCCTTCCATACCTGACTTCATCATTCTACCAGAAGATATTTTTACCTGTCCAGGTAAGACCTAATCAATCACATCAAAGTTTAATCAGGTCTTGATACTTTGATGGATTGGGTTAGTATTGGGAATCTGATCAACGATTGTCAGATTATTATTAATACGATATATGGGATAGCTTTTTAACAAGGAAAACACTTGGAGTCCTAAGGGATATATGCATTTTGATGTAATGTATAGAATTTGTCACTGCATACTGTCATATTGGGTTG